TTTTTTTTTTTTTTTTTGCTAAATTGTTCAAAATGTTTTGCTGTCTAATAGTAATACCAAACACTTCTTTGAAACTGTGAACACTGTCTGTTAGTATGAAATGGTGCTTTCTGCTTTCTTCTTTGTTTTGTTTTGCAAACAAATCTTTACTAAACAGCACTAAAACTATTGACTAAATTAGAATAAAAAAAGAGTTGAAGAAAAAAACCAAAAACCACTTACTTAGTGGTAAATGTGTTTGTTTTTTAATCATTTTTAAAACTTTTTTACATAACTATCAAAATTTTAAAATAGAAATAAATAAACAAATCGAAAAAAAAACACGAGAATAAGAACAAAGTTGTCAGGTTGAATGGTACAGCTAACAGCGACAGAACAGTGCCGATCCATAACGTACCAACCAAAAACATATGCCAAGGATAAACGACAAAATTACACCGACTAAAGCCACCCTAAAGAAAAACAAAATAAATAAATAATAATAATAATAGAACAATTGAACGGTTATCTGCTGTATTTTTTTTTTTTATAAATTTTACATTTATTGAACAAAGATATTCAATTGTTTGTCTTAATTTTGGTCACTGATCAATCAGTTCGCCTTACTTATAAACAACTCAAAAAAAGAAAAAGAAAACAGTAATGTGCAAACTGATTGATTGTTATCTTAAAAGTTTTGTCTTAAGACTTCTTAAATAATCTGTTGTTTTTGATTACTAATTATTGAAACATTTTTTATTTATTTTTATTTTTTTTTTTGTTACTAATTTTACAATTAATACAGAGAATAATAGGTGTTTTAAAACAAAAAAAGAGAGAAAAACAAAACAGCACTTACATTAACCAAATTTTTACCAACGCACAACATTCGGTGATTGTCAGTGAACCCGGTGAACAGCATTCATAATAGATAAACATCGTTTCTTTTGGACATCTAAATAGCAGTCTAAGCTTGGTGGTTAACTTCAGACTTAGCACTTAAAAAAAAAACAATTGTTAAATAACACTGTTAAATTTACTGAATACATATTATATTGCTTTGATAACTGTCAAGATGAAGCATTATCACATCTTTTTTTTTTTTTTGAAATCGATGTACAGATGATGTATATTTTGAGTAAATGCACATCGAAGAGCATTTAAATTGAAAATTCTTTTGAAACAAAGATTCTCTTTCATTTATTTTTTCTTCACTGTTTTTTTATTAACAGAAAATTAACTAAATTTTTTAAAT